CAGAACTGGCCCCAATACTAAGCCCTGGGAAACCCACTTGTGACCGGCCACCAACTGGATTTAACTCCATTCACCACCACCCTTTGGGCCCTGCCATCCAGCCAGATTTTACCCAGCGAACAGTACGCCTGGCCAAGCCACAAGCAGCCAGTTTCTCCAGGAGAATGCTGTGGGAAATGGCATCAGAGGCTTTACTAAAGTCTAGGTAGACACCCACAGCCTTTCCCTCATCCACTGATCAGGTCACCTTGTCATAGGAAGAGATCAGGTCAGTCCAGCAGGACTTGCCTTTTGTAAACCCATGCTGACTGGGCCTGATCACCTGGTTGTCCTGCACATGCCGCCCAATGGCCCTCAAGATGATCTGCTCCATGACCTTCCCAGGCACCGAGGTCAGACTGTAGTTCCCTGGATCCACCTCCTGGCCATTGTTGTAGATGGGCATCACATTTGCCAACCTCCAGTCAACTGGGACCTCCCCAGTTAGCCAGGACCGCTGACAAATGGTGGAAAGTGGCTTGGTGAGCACTTCCACCAGCTCCCTCGGTACCCTTGGGTGCATCCCATCCAGCCCCATAGACTGGTGTGCGTCCAAGGGGTGTAGCAGGTCACTAACCTTTTCCATTTGGATTATCAGGGCTTTTCTTCTCCCTGTCCCTGTCTAAATTTCAGCTAACAACTGGTTATTTGCACAGATGCCAGTTTGTATAAGGAGACAACTACTAAGATAACTCAATTTGGGAATCCCTAGCAATAAAGTCAGATACACTACACACTGATCCATATCATCAGTGTAGTACGCAAACTGACATTTGCATAACTTCATCTAATTAGCAGAAATTTCCTTTGTATGGCTACTCAAATGAAATTGTCATAAAAAGAACAATATTATGAAGCAGTATGTATTTCTGTTCATTTTGCTCACCTTCTCTGCTTTACAGCAGCAACAAGGTCTGGCCCTGAGAACATGGAGAACAAGCTGTCTCCATTAGCTGAGGAGGTCTCATCACTTGAGCTGGCAGAGTCTCCTTGAGTACCAGACCAGCTATTTGTCACGTCACTGTAAGACAAAAGGTTGTATTAGTCCTCGTATTTATAATGCCTGGTCCAGACTGTATGCCCTAGTCATTTATGCTGAATCTTTGTCACAGGTGATACCTCAGAGCACAAAGAAATTTCAATACTTTGTAAAATGTACAAGTAATACAAATACTTCCTCTTATTTACTTCTGAGTGATCATCTCAACTGCTTTGTCCGTTATAGTCACTTTATATATACTTTACTAAAATAATTCTATAAATTAAAAGTGCCTCTTTTGGTCAGGAAGGAGACACAAGTGATGCTTGGTTTTGGAGTCACTAAGCACTTGACTTTTTCATTGTAAAACTGAGCTAGCACACATACTTGTCCTACTGGCTTTAAGTCAGCTTGAGAGGCACAGTTATTATATTACAGACAAATGGACAGAGGATCTTGAAACACTTCTGTTGTAATAAATAGTTATGATTTAGAAGAGATTAAGATCTACTAATGTACTTGCTGTAAGGTACCTGCCTTGTAGTAGCAAGATTAAATGGCTAAAATCTGGAAAGCTGAATTTACTCAGGCACTGCAACTTTGATAGCATCACTTTTCATCAAAACTAGGTCTTAAAGATTTTTAAAATACTGAAAGAAAACTGTTCTGAATGAATCTGTGCTATAAATGCCTTCTTTCCTCAGTTTGAGTCAAAGTCAGTATACATTCCACTCTAAAGAAGACATCAAACAAATGTCAGTGCTTCAGTATCAGCAAAGCAGGAAGGGCTCAGATTTCTCACTCTTGGCATAACGAAATGCAGCTTTCACAGATGCAGCAGCAATTGGAAAAAACACCCAGTATTCCCATATTCTGCCAAGTCTGAGTGCAAAATAGACTCGTATGCAATAAAAATATGTAGCCTGTCCAATCTCTTACCCTTCTGTGAAATACTCAGGAAAGGGCCAGGTTTTATGAGGATCATCAGGAAGAGGCCAGTTGCTACGGGTGTTGCTTGGACGACGGACATGCTGTGCTTGCCTTTTTTGTTGCATAGCCTGGTTCACCCCAGCAACATAGCGGGCAAATTCTGGATCAGAGCCAACTGAATAAAAGAAACCGAGAAGTCAGTTGCTGACATTCAGCTATTTCTACTGCAATTATCCCCCTCATTTAATCCTTTAGGCTTGACCATAGCACAACAGAAAATAATACCCTCACTGATAATAAATGCCAGACAACAGTTGATACCTCTTCATGGAGCACTGAAGGACACTGAATGGGAGATGTTTTTGTTTTTTTTTAAAAAAGTAGATACACACCATCCATATATGGTGGATAATAGTTCTCACATGGAAGTACACCTGCCCCTTGCATCCATCAGGGAAATAGTTATTTGTCACTATGATCATGTCTATACACTGAAAGGTCCAATATCCCATCAGCAGACACTGATGGAATTAAAACCAGTACATTTATCCAAGCTCAGAGAAGAAGAAGATACCAGTTATTATAGTTGATTCCAGATTGCAACATGATTTCCAGCTATGTTGTGATCCTGCTTGCTTTGAGAAATCAGAGTCCCAGATTGATCATATTAGAACATACAGCCCAGAAATTGCCTACTTCCTACAAAGACTAGACAACTGTTTTGAAAACCTTCTCATCCTGACCTGCAAAATGTTTCAGCTTAAGATTGATATTTACAGAAAAGCAGTAATTCTTAAAAATAAAAATTCTTCCATTCTTGAAGTGCTTTGTATCCCAAGAATCTGTTAAAGTGATCAGTTAAAGTGATCAGCATGATCTTGAGCAGACACAGCAAAAGCCTTAATCCAAAAGTGTTTTAAATGCTCAACTGATCAGAGCAAATAATTCCTGTATTAAAAAGAATGCTGTTATGAGTCAGTGTAATTGAGTTTCCACAGCTTCTGTTTCTTTTTGCCCTTCTTTTTATTCCTTTCTGAGAGAAAATTTTGCAATCTGACTGGATTTATGGAGAATGTCTAGACCACATGCATAGTAATTGCAGCAGGAAGTACTGAGCTACTGGCTTGCTGGTCTCATTTTTAAATTAAGAGTGAAGACTGCAGAACATCCACAAGCATACTCAGCTCAGAAAGCAGAAACAGTCTTTCATGTGATGGCTTCCTTACATTCAATTCAGTATCTAGAAGAAAAGTTTACTCGTTTTTATTTGGCACATTCAGAAAAGAGCTCCACAATGTTTTGCTGGATGCAAATTAAAATGATAATGAAGAAGATAACTTTGTTTCTGTACATTCTTTATTATATAAGCAAGGGACAGAGCTACCTGACAGCTGTACAGAAACAAAGTATTCCCACTGATACTTGTTCTCTTTGAGAAATATCTTGATGTCAATTTAAGATGAGGCTGGAAGCTAGACAGATCCTTAGATCTAAGAATAGATTCTAGATCCTGAAGGGCGACCAGGTTTTTTTCCTGTGGATAGCATTAAGTGTTAAATTAGTGTTATATTCAAAATAGCAACCTGTGTTAATTTTTACCTCAATAAAAACATATCAGGTAAATGGCTTTTTATCAGATATGTTTTTGACTTCAATCTTTCACACATCTGTGAAAGTAATTCAAAAGACCTGGAAGTTTCAACATTCCTTGCACTACTTCTTACTGCAACATTCCTTCATGAAGTTCTTACAGATGATAAAAGTACTGCAAAATACATTTTTGGTAGCTAGTTGAGCCTTTGACATGAAAAGCCATCAATTTTATAAATTTTTTATGAGCAGATTTGCATCTGAAAAGAGACATCATTTTCAGGCTCTAAAAATATTGATCACAAAAGTAATGCCATTTGTTTCAAATGACAAACGTACAAAGTCCTAAGAAAGTCTGGACATGAAGAAGTGTTTTGCGTTTTAAAGCTTTCTGTACTACACTAACCAGAGCTTAAATTGAAAATTCCTACAATCACAGCTCAACCTGGCAAGCTATATGAAGAAAAGTTATCTTTCCAATGGAAAAATCTATTTGATTGGAAGTTTGGGGTTTTTTTGGTTGGTTCTGGTTTTTTTTAGACCCCAGATCTGTGGAAAATACTGTTTACTTACCACTTCAGCTGTAAAAACATATATCTTAATCCACAGAGCACCATTTACCAACTTGAATAAGTCACCTTTCCAGAGTGTTGCTTTCAAAGCCTTTGATATTCACCATATCAAATGGAACAAAACAAGTAGCTTTATGTAGACTGAAAGGAAAGTACTACAGAAATATAATGGACTCAAAATGCTAAAAATGCCAGTCCTTTGTACACATGCATTTTTTTCCCCTACACATACATGTATTTGGTGCTTGATGAAAACCGTTTTATTCCTCCTTAAAGGTTGTGATAATCTTGAAGTATGTATCACAAGTATGTTTAAATACAGTGACGCTAATTCAGACTTACAATTCTTAAGAAGCTTTTGGTAACATAACTATGATGCCTATTTTTACCTTATAAACTCCACTACTTTATCAACTAAGTCGACAAAATAACTATCAAAATTATGAGTCAAATGAGCTGGTTCCCGAGACCCCTACACAGTCCTAACACGTGTGTGCAAACGAGCATGGGTAAACAGATTCATGGTTTGATAAAAGTTTTTTCTGTTAGTTCTAGTGCTGCAGGTAGCTTTCATAAATGGATACTACAAAGTTTCTGTAGCTATGTTCCAGGCCAACAGAAATTATATTAATGAGATAATCGGTTTGTAAGTTGTTCTTAGTACTACTATCAGAAGAATTAATTAATCTCTGTCTTGGACTCTACAGTCAATTTCATAGTCTTTAGCTATTTGCTTTCAGCTATAAATTTTTATCTCACTTCATCAATAATCCCTCTACATTTACAATTTATTGGTGGTTCAAACACATCTGGCAACCCACATGGCACTTGTGCTTTAGTCTCTAATCCTCTGGCACCCAAGCTTTTCACTGCAGCAACAGCTGTAGAACAGGAACCTGTATGACTCCCATGGAATTGCACAGTAAGAGAGGGGAAATGCAGGGATGTGGGAAAGACACAATCCAGCTGTATCTCCAGACTGCAAGACTGCTAAAGAGCAGGAAGGATCATTTCTGGGAGAGGTAAAATACGTTAAGTTCAAGAGTTTAGTTTTAAATACTTTCACAAATTAATAGGAGGAACATCATCTGTAAGTATCTGTTTCTGTACTTTGATGTGGTCCATATCGGAAAGGTCAGAACTAGTACAATTGGGACAAGAAACAAGGAATTTGTTCCCATTCTTATTTATTAATGAAACGTGCTTGTACTTTAGTTCACCTTCTGTTAAAAAAAGAAAAGAGGCATACATATAAATACCTGCTTGCCTTTGTACGCACCCTAGCACCTGGTGGATAGCACTAGGAAATGACAGTTACTGCTAGCAATATTTAACAGTATTCTTTGTAAAAGGACCCTTGTAAAAACATAATAGAGGAAAAGACACACACCTGCAGGGTCAAAAGGGAGGATTTCTCCCAACATCCCAAACACTCCATCAGTTTGGTCACGATTTGGCCATGTGTTGTTTCTAGGTCCTTGTGGTTTCTGTCCTAACATCTCTGACATCATATTGTCCATGTAGCTGCTCACAAGACCCAAGCTGTACAAATCAGAGCTGAAATCTGAAAAACCAGGATTGTTCCACTGGTTTATATGAGACAATCCAGCTCCAACAGCTTGGGCTGGCTGCTGTGAAGAATTAGGGAGCCACTTGGCAGGTACACGTTGCTGTGGTCCAATAGGTTGAAGCAAGTGTTGGTAATACTGCATTTGCTGCTGCTGCTGCTTTTGTGACTGTTGTTGCTGTGACAAGCCTTGCTGAGAAGGATGCAGTGGTGTGTGAGAGACAGATTGTGGCTGCTGTTGCACCGTTCCTGATTTTTGTTCTGTTGCTGTAGAGGATGCTACAGAGTTCCTTCTTTTCACCATTGGAGAAGTCTGCTGGGATTTGCCCATGTTAAAACCAGACAAGAAATCTATAACATCCTGCATTTCTTGGTCAGTTGGTAAATTCATGCCTTTGTCATCCTTGCCATCATCCGGTTTGAAGAAGTTGTCCCGTCTTTCAACTAGAAACCCATTCACAAGCTGATTATTTGTGCTCTGAGTTGACTGCAGTGGATCTGCGGTCCTAGGAAAATTACCAATGTTCAAAATGCTTTGTAACCGTGCGTCTATGTTAGCGGGCATTTTAGCTTTCTCCTCAGAGTTGGAACTTATGAAGACATTTTTGGAAGGTGTATTGGGGATTGAGTAACTTCCAGTATTACTTGTACTGGTGCCGGCAGTTTTTTTTGTAAACCGGGAAGTCAATTTTGAGAATGTCTTTTGTAGACCACCTGAAGATTTGTTTCCATTTCCAGATGGCATGTCAACTTGATTCCCAAAGTCTGAGATTTCACGCTGTAACTGGATCTGAATACAAGGCAAAGCTTGCTCCCTGCGTCAACAAAAACACATATATCAAACCACCTAACTGAGTTTGTACTTTGGAGGAAAATGTGTATTTGGGTAATGGCTAGTGGAAAAAACAAAACCAAAGATTGCCAAGTTCATCAGCTACTTCTTATGGTAACAATGCAAATTATTACTAGTATTTGCAACAGCATTAACTGCTTTCCATTCCTTAGGAAATTTTAATTGTGCTTCAAGACCTAAATGGAGACTAATTTAATATAAATCAAATATTTTTATGAGAGAAACAAATACTTTTGTACACTTGGATAAGCTGCTGGTTTGGTTTTAAAGAGACTGCTGTATCTCCGTATTCACCTGCAAGGTACCTATGCAGATTACCAATTTCTTCCTCTGTTTGACTGCTCTTTTCTCCTCCTGATGAACCAGTACTACCAAATTCCTCAGTACAGATCTTTCAACAATTATGGCTTTGTTTAAACTAGAAAAGTAGAGCATGAGGCTCAAGAGGAGATGTACCTTCCTTCCTTCCACCTGTGTATGTCAAACACAGCAGTGTAGAGCACATCTACCAGCCCCAAAGTCTTCTCTGGATCCAGACTCCTCTGTAGCAAAGACATTGTTGCTGGATCTTCTTTCAGACACCTGTAATCATTAAGTTTAACTTAAAAAAAATCAATTTTTTTTTTTTTTTTTACATTAAACAATTTTACCATACTAGTCAGATAATAAAAGGCCAATTGATGCACTACTGTTGCTCCTACAGAGGTGCAACTAGTAAAGGCAGCATAACGTACGGATGCCTGAGGGTTCCTAAAGACTATGCCTGCAGCCCCAATGTCTTGAAACCGTTGAATCTACAACTAATCTAACTGTAAAATCAAGAGTTATATAATTGATTAAAAAATCATGATTAATGATTAGCTCCTTAGCTGAGCAGCCATAATTCAGGCCAAGAGATAAGAAACAACAAATACACAAAGCCCACTTCTGGAAAATGGCAAGAGCACTCAACAAACCTGACACAAAACACTAGCACATGGGTACACTCTGTGGTCCAATGCTAAGAGCCCCCAGCGTGACAGACTATGTGGAAAATGATTCAGCATATCCAACAGTCCGGGGAAGATTTTACTAAGCTGTGAAGATGCACAATTGGTGAGTTTTCCTCATTAATGGCACAGAATTAGGACTGAATTTGAGGTGAAATCAGAATAACGTAAGTCTAAATATTAGCACATTTGTCAAGCCCCTCCAGCAGAGACGAGTAAAGAGGCGCTCTCAGTGTGTGTCAGCAGGCGGAGCTCTTCCAGAGCACACAAAGCCTGGCTCAAAGCACTCTGCATTATTTTAGTTCTTTCATAATACAGCAATTTACATAAAGAGAACAGAGAAGTGCCAGTTCATACTCTATAGAGGAATTAAAGATGTATTTGGGTAAACAGACTATCAGTTGACTTGTACTTCTGGACATACCACTGGTACCACTAGTAACAGGCTATCTCACTAAGGACTCATGAATGAACTGCGTTGTACTGAAATTCCTAACACCGAGTGCTCCGAAATAAGAGAGAAAGGAAGTGTTCCAATTCCAAATCATTGTTTCAAAAGGGAAGAAATCCTCACCTAAACTGCAGATTAATCCTACCATTCCCTCCTATGCAGTCAACTAAATTGGCAGGAGTAGTGTCTCTCGGACCACAGAGTTCTGCGGTTCATGACGGTGCGTAAAGAACAGCTCAGTGAAGAAAGAGCTAAAGCTCTCATATTAATCTCATCTAATTCCTGGCCTTCCTGAGGTAACCGCTCTGAGGACCTGCCAGGGAGGAGCAAAACAGGAATACTAGTGGAATTTTTTTATATTTTTAAACCTGTTCCTTCATTATCAAGCTTTTACTTTTTCTTTAAAAGTATGTCTTAGTGCCCAGCACTGCCTCTCTTCTATTGCCTCTAAAAGAGGCAGCGCTAGTACAAAGACAGCTAAAGTACAGCTGTCAGTCTGTCAGGAATGGTGGTATTCAAACAGTTCCAGATAAAGGAACCTAAGGAAGATATGCCACAACTGTGTAGTATTCTCCCCTCCATTTGTACTGCAATATTTTTTCCCTATATATTTCAGTCATAGCTCTTAGGATAATCTGCAATACAGTATTTTTATTTACCAAGTTGATGGAACTTGCACCACAATTCTGGATCCTTCTAAACTTATCTGAGGAGCATAGGCTTCTTTATTTTCAATCTGTGCTGTGTCCACAACCACCTAGCAAATAAAATGAAAATAAAAGGGAAATTATTTCAAGAATTAGTTCTAGTTATTTTATCATCCCTGTAGTTAAGATGCAATAGTCTCTCCTCCCTGCCATGCTACAGGTGCAAAAAATAACCAGATACAAACAAATCAACTCACAAAATCATTGTAAGCTGATTTGTATTTTAATATCTAAAAAAAAGACATACTATAAAATTAGTTTGATACAGTAACCTGTATTTCAAGGACTTAATTTTTCTCAATTACATACTATAGTTATGCATCACTACATAGTTACCAACTGCTTTACCTAACAGCTGGTAGTTATCAATGGCTTCGTAAAACAGCCCTTACATTTGAGAGGTTTGGCACTATTACTTTAATAGCTCCCGAACACCTATTTATCAAAATATTTTAAATAATTTAACTGCAGTGCATGGATGATATAGACAAGTAGTATTTAGTCTGAAACTGTTCACGTAGCTCACAATTCTTAACACCCCCCACACCAACATTACTCTGTTCTACCTAATGAAACTGTACTATTATTAATCCCCTATTATATAAAGAGAAGAAAAGTGACTGTTCAATTTGTTGTTTTCTGAGCCTTCTGTAAGACATCATGAAGATATATGGAAGATGAAAGTCTTGAAGAAATCAACCTTCTGTCATGAACCTTTCTTTTTATGGAATTGAGAAGGAATGGATTCACTTCAGCTTCATTTAAACTTTAATACCAGTGATAGTAAGTTCCATATTTGGTTCGTGCTTTCTGTTGTCTAGTCTGCATGGGTTGGCCTTTTTGATCATTTCCATAATTTCCTATTTTGGTCATGCTGAACCAGCAGCTTTTTGGCAGCAGTCAGCAGTTCTTGCTTCAGTGACTAGCAGATTAGCTGTACCACTTACCCTTGAAATGGCAAAAGTCCTCTGGTATAAATAAGCCTCAAGGGATATTACGGGCTTTTTTGCAATCGTCCTACACTGGTTCTACTTCTAACTGGTTGTCTACTGGTTATGAAGAAATCTGGAATATGAATAACGCTGAGAGTCTCTTCTCTCTCTTGCTTTAACAAAACCATCCAATGACACTTGAACACAATTATTTCCCACTTTTTATATATTTTGGCATAAGGCCTAAGTTTTCCTCCAGTTGACTCTAAGCATTTGCCTGAGTTTATTCAAACTTGTAAAACATGTCTAAGCACAGGGACAAAACGCCATGCTATTATCCACTCATGAAAATACCTCTCATTTAATAAGAGGGCAACGCCATGACTTCTTTCCTTGTATTTCCACCATTTTAAATTTTATGTAATTTGGTTATCTGCAATTCAGCTATATTGCAATTATAATTGGGATAAGGAGAGATGAACTTCGGAGTGATTGTTCTCAACTCCCAAGAAAATACTGTTCTGATTTGTGCAGACCTACATCAGCTTCTGGTAGTGATACACGGCAGCGCTCATGGTCTGGGCTTTGTTGGGGGTGTGATATGTCCTGTCGTCATGTCCCCCCTGCCCCCATCTTCCTTTCTTCCCTTTAAAAAAGTTTTACATTTCTCAACATTTGGTCAATGTTACAACATCTGGGATTTAAACATTACTAGGAGATTCAGTGCTTCTGCAATGCATGTTGTTTTTTGCTACAGAAAGATCTACTAGCACAAAAAAGGACAGAGGATGGTTAGAGACTGAGTTAAACCTTCCCTTTGTGAGTTTGCACAAGGCCAATTCAAAGTTTTATTTCCACTCAGCCTCTGAATTCAACTATTTTAATACATGTTACTTTTATTCAAACATGGAGATTTCTTCAGCTGAGCCAAATCTGAAAATACAATTCTTTTTATATATATATGCTAAGGTAAAAACTGAAAAACTGCGCTTTAAAAAAATTATTTCTTATCCTAAAAAACTGAAGCCTAAAACAACCAAGCAAACTAAGTCACATCTCATTGTGCTTTCCACTCTTAATGAGTTTCTTCTTAAAAGGCACCTGGCAAGATGGGCTAAAGATAGTGAGACTGTCAGGTAATGTTCTTTTTTAAATTTGGCATTTAAATGACAAATCTACACACAATTCTGAACCAATGCAGACAGCTTAGTTTCCGTGAACAAAAGACTACGTAATGCTGTCCCATGATTCATTTATCAGAGTTCTACACAAAATAAACTTAAAATAAACATATTCTCCCTCCCTGCCTGGTGGGTACTTAGAGGATACCTTCCTGTGCATCAGACATCTATTGTTCTTGTTTTACAGGTGTTTCCTCTCTCATTTCCACCCAAAGAATGCTTTAAAGCAGCAAATTACAATTTCTCATCATTGCACAAGTCTACGTACAAGCATAATTGAATCTTGTAAAAAAAATCATGGCACAGTTTACAAAGAAAAACCTCAACCTTCACACTCTTCCAAATTGTAACAAGTCAAAGTGAGAACGAACGAAGGAGAGAAGGCTCACAACTATTTTGTCATATGTATAGCTCATTACTGTGTCTTTGAAGATAGAAACTTGCTACTTTCAGAACCTGAGGTTCATGCAAAAATCTTTGGAGTGTTCATGATTCAACACAAGTAATATTCCTTATATCACCACCGTCATTTGGGAGAACGTACAAGTAAGTTTTATGCTGACAACTCTCCAAATGTTATGATAAACCCGAATAATACCAGCGCTTTAATTACCAGCAGGTTTAACTAGTTATGTCTAGACTGGGGGACACCAGGAGATTTCCAGACTCCTGAGTCCAAATGTGCCTCAGGCCACTCCTCAAAGCTCATCAGGGCAGGACTTGGGTGTGCACAACGCTGAAACCCCCTGGAAAGGAAATGGTGGGAGGCGCAGCGTCCTTCAAGGCGTTCCTCATCTAGACACTCAGGAGCCAAGCACTCCTCCTGAGTTACGGCACGCTCCCATAGGGCTCCTGAGAAAGAGTTTTTCTTGGACCCATTTCCCGTACCTTGTTGCTGACTCCCAGCACCCTACAATTTACTATGGCAAGTAAAGACACAATCCCACTTAACCATAGCCTTTTTTCTAGTTATTCTTGTATTAATTAATACTTAACATGTATTTTCCTTGAAAACGCCCAAGTAGAAATTTGATCAATCCTGCTATTCCACAGTTGCTTTCTCTCCCTACAAAGATACCACCTTCTTAGGCCTGCCTGTAAAACTTCCTTATACAAAGCAGTTAATGCACTACCATCTCCTATCCTTAAATCCCTGTACCACAGTGAAGTAAGGATTGATAGCAGGGGCGCTGCTGTCATGATACTGATGGTCTGTCCCTTTGATTTTAGGCCTTCTTTACATGAAAAGTCAGCTGATTTCCAGTATGATTTGAATCTACTTCTCTAATAAATATTTAATATTAAAGGAATATCTAATATCTATAATCAAAGGAATGCTAAAGTAGAAAGATCCGACAAATTTATCATTTACAATTTATCATTCACCATTATTGGAGAACTTATTAATGGTACCAAAAGACATATGGTTTCACGAACTAGGCTGGAAGGTCAAAGTCACTTAATCAGCTGTGTGATTTGTTTGAAAAATGTGGTATTTACATGTGATATTTACAAGTATGTAGCAATTATGGATCATTTCATCAGAAATTACAGTTAGTTACAAAGTCCTGATGGCCTGCCATCACCTTGAACAAAGAATCAGTGTATGAATCAACAAAAAGCATTTAGCTCACTGTAGGTTAAAGATGATTCAAAGAATACTTGACAGAAACTATCATAGGCTACAGTGTATTTTTATACTGGCATTTCCTTCCTATCCTATTGCATTCTTGCCCCCATTTTATTTGTCCAGTCAAATGAAAACTCACAGTAGTCCAAAAAACCTTTGTGTCATGAATGAACATTTTATTAAAGGAAGAGATTGCAGTAATTAGTTATGGCAGCACAAATGCCTTTTCTTATCAGAGTATGTTCCAAGCATCTACTTTTAGCAACTGTTTAGATACTGTAAAATCCATGAGGTTTGTTTCTAAAGAACACATATGTCTACAGCAAGGTACTTAATTGCTCCGTCCTCTGTCAGAGATGTCAGGTAGCATTACTTGGTGCAGAGGATTTCCTGGTTTATGTTGGGCAGGAAACCCAGCTTCCATTCAAAGCAGAGAGGAAATGAAAAAAATCGCAGTTTTTAAAGCTGATCTGAGAGATGGCAGGGGGAGGTGTGTTTCTTTTTAACATAGCTATCTATAGATTTGAAAAAATCTTTATATTTCACTATGAATTAGAAGTTTCATTTCTTGTGTTCTCTCTAGTAACGGAGACTACCAAGTACACGGTACATTCTCCTGTTCCTATCAACTACAGATACCATCTACAAACTTGCATTCCATGAGGATACATTTTGCTCATAAATCAAATTAATTGCAGGGTTAAAAATGGAGGAACACAAAGTAAGACACTAGAAATTAATTTCCAAACTCTTTAACGTATCTAGTTCCTCTTCAGGATGTTTAAGTAGCCCTTTTGTTTTTTTCTGCTAAGCCTATTCATAGTCACTTACCAGTCCAGCTTGGCCAAATAACAATTGTACAGCAGTTTTGCAGGCTCCTCGCCAAGTGGAAGGGCAGACCTGATTTAGTACTTCAGTAACAGGAGAGTCATCCCGTGGTGTAAGTCCGTTATGGCATCCAGCTTCCTTAATCAACTGCAGCATTGTGTGCTGAAAAAAAATAAACAAACATGCGATTCAGAAATGTTAACACCAGTGCTTCCATATGTATCTATCATTGTTCTATAATGTCTGTTATAATTTCAAACAACTATAATGTCTGTTACCTCTGAACAGTCTTGTATAACTAGAAGAGCTCAACTGCCGAACAAAAATATGGAAGATCATCTCTGCTATTTGGAACACAATACTAGTCCAAAATCATAAACAGTATTTTTGCTTATATTCTTGCAATACAATTTAATCAAAACTACAAAAACCACTGCAAAGACAACAGAAAAGCAGCATTTCGAGCTGTGGATTGTTTCAACTCTTTCAGGAGCAAGGAACTGGGCTTATCTAAAAAAAGTGAAAATGCTAATTAAAATTGGCCAAACTACTTCTGAACGGACATCTTTTCCATTCCTTTTAACTGAAAATACAATTAACTTCACCACAATTTTAAATTTTTTTTAAAAAAATTTATTACAGTTTGTAAGACGACATTAAAAGAAGCTTTGTTACAAAATGTTTTCTCAAGTACCTCCCTTAACACTAGGAGGGACCAGACTTATTTTGGCACTACGAAGATAAAAAGCTCTGAAGGGCAGCACCTGGTTGGGGCATCTGTAAGGGCTCACTTTCCTCTGCACTTTTTGATATCTAATCCATCTATTTTCAAAAAGTTCACAGAAGCTTCATTACCTCCTGGATTTCTACACTTCTCTCAGATTGAATTTGTACAGGTAGTTAAAATGTTATCAGAAGCAGGCGTGGACCTACAGTGTTATCAACATCTTGCTTCCACAGGAAGTCAGGCTAAAAATACATACTTTTAAATACAAGTTTGGCACTGAACTTCTACTGCAGTTGTTCTCTAAATTTCAGGGAGTTCGACTCTTTTTTTTCTTTTCCTCTTCCCCCCACCCCTGCCCCACCCCCTCCTGTGGTTAGATTCAGGGTTATTACCGTTTTCAGCTTCAGGTTTTCTGCTGCAGACTCATTAAAGGATATTCCTTTCAGAAAATGTGATCCTATCTGAACAGGTACAGTGGGCAGTTCACACTGAATTGGCTGAGGTGGTGTCTGTCTCCTTCCTGTTTGCTGGGCTTCAGCTTCACTGCAACAGCCCTGAAATATAAAGTAACAGATCACTTAGAAGAAACAAAGACATTAGAAAATCCTAATATAGGTAATTTTTTTTTTTTAATAATTATTTTCAAGGTGAGGAAGGATGAAAGAGAGAGCAGGTTTAGCAGATCCTACCTGAAGACTTGCTTCGATAGCTTTTGGGTTCAAGTGGAAGCCAGCCTTCATTGCATATTCACAATGGCCTAAACTCTCCAAAGCCACTTTGTAAGCCTGACATTAAATAAAAAGTTGAGATAGCACAAGCATATCAGCAAGTAAGCAAGCATGCAGTCATTGTGTCTGGATACACATATAAGAATTGTTACATGGATTTAACCTAGTCAGTTCCACGGCATACACACATTTATCATATAAGACTCCAATACTGTAATTCTTAAATACCTCACGGCTGCCTGTGATACATATTTCTGCAGTAATACACTTCTTCCCTATTTCATTCCACTGACTGTACTACATGCACATGAAAGCAGCAGACTTTAAAAACCACCTGCAAAGCACTGTCAATTTTCATGTTTAGCTCTTTGAGCTGATGTTCAGGGATTGCCACACTCTGTGAGCAGAAAAGTTGCTGAACTTCAATTCCCGCCAAACATCCATCACAGCCTCTCTCTCGCAGTCGAGATGTGGCCTGTAATGCAAAATAAAAATCCAGAGTAAAGAGGCTTGGCATTAAACCAGGTCAAGCTTAATTAAATTTTAAAAAAAAAAAAAAAGAAAAAAGAAAAAAGAAAAAAGAAAAAAGAAAATGGGCAAAAAACCCCACAGAGTTTAAAACATTCTAAAGGAGATAAGAAGCAGCACCTGGTGGAAAGGACTTGGAGGAAATTATTTGTGATGACTAAACTTGTACTGCTACTTTGAAAGTAGAAATCTCACATAATTTGTATGGTATATAGGTGTTGGCTAGTAACTTAATTCACCATTGTTTGCTGTTACTATTTCAGCTCCCTCTCAGGACTAAGGATCCTGTTACACAGGCCATGTGATGATGGCAGTTACCAGAGGAGGGACTTAGAACTTCAACATAAAGGGTATTACTTGTCACAGCGACAGAAGATACATTTAATCTTGTGTACAAACACTCCTGTGTACATAAGAAGATATATTTTATAAAATTAAGGGTGATTACTGTGGTGCAATTTGAGAAGAGCCACACAAGGCCGTAAGATCAACTTAGCACTGCAAGAGAACAGCTTTATGTAATACGATTTTGAAAAATAAGAAATATGAAAAGCCAAATATCTAGTTTTAACTGTAAAATATTACACTAGTGAGCAGCGTAAGCAAATAGAAACCTACTCTCAACTGCATTTAAGGCCTCAGATATGGCTTATTTTTTCAGTCTAGGAAGCAGTCTTGCTCTAAAGCAGGATCTCCTCATCGGGGTTTTTTGGTACTTCAGCCAAGGGATAGACACATTGCTCACCTCATCAACACATACAAAATTAGGGCATTTTCCAAGTTAAAAATCTTATAAAGGAAAAACAGTTTTGAGGTATTGACAAACTATCATCTTAAACTTTATTCTGAAACAGCAGTGTATTCTCCTACCAGAGGCTGATTTTATATGGAAATAATGGATTGCCTTCCACTCCACAAAGTAAAAATTTGGAAAGATTTCAGTATTTCAAGTCTCCCTTCTGTCAAAATTACTTATAATTGTAGATAGACTAATATACAAGACAGAGAAATTTTATTTATTTACAGAGCACAGATTTTTCTTATGCTGTCCTAAAACCCCACACAAATACTTCAGATTAGTTATTTTAGATAATCATAAAAATTGAAAAGTTTCTTCTGTTGTTCTTCTGGAACTAGGGAGAAGCTGTATTTTTCTCTTTTCCTCCCAATGTACGTTTCATAAAGGATTTGTTTACTGTAATACTTGTACTAAATTCTATTTCGAAATACAGGTTTTACTGACAGATATAGCTGAAGCTGGCTGTTAAGGAGGTAAAAGAGAAAGCTATGGTCCCAGATTCTGCAAACCCAAGTTTAATTTTAACTACATTTTAAACAAACTTGATGGCAATTGCAAGGCATTTCTAGAAATTGTAACAGAATTTTAAGGAACTAAGTATATTAAACATAAAATTAACTATTTTTACACAAAAGAAGCTATACCAGGATTAGACCCGTTACAATTATCTGTAATACCCCTAAAGAACTCCCAAATCCTATTTGATCCAGTGAAATAAGTTTATGCTGCAGTAAAAATTACAAGTAACTCCTCAGCATTCATAGTTCTAAAGGAAACTTGTTCGCTTTCATATAGCTTGCAGATGTTAGTTGATAAATGGAAACCTTGACAAGATTTCCAGTCAAGATGATTAACAAGCCTGTGTGGGCTGCCAAATTAGACTTCAAAAGCACATGCTCCAAGTTACTTAAATTCAAGGAAACCATGCACTCAGTGTCCAAATCCATTCTCATCTATCAGTCTGCAGGCTTCGATAGTGCAAGGGAAAGCAGAAAAACTCATAAAACTAATTTTCTTTGTAAAGAACTTTCTTCAGCAGGAAAAGTAAGGATTCCGCAGATGGCAAGTGTTTGTGAAAATACAAGTCCAGAGAGTGGTACGTTCAAGTAATACAATTAACATTCCAACAATTGATGGATCAAGCAATATCAAGCTTAACAGCATGAAGACAAAAGTGTTAAAAGTTACTGTAAAGAATTTCAAGTATAAAATAGAATTAATGCTCAAAATTTAAGAGAAATAGACATTATCTAAATTATTTTTCATCAAGATTTTTTTCTGATTTTGCAAAGACCTGCTGCATTTTATTTTAAATTCCCTCTGTCTGCAAAACCACATTTGAACATTGTTAACTCATTACTAATAACAAAAAGCTGTTTCCACTGTTTGTGTACTCCTTATGTACAATCATATCACAAAGAAAACTTTACATAGGGCAAAGATAGTATAATCACCATACAGGTAAAACTAGTTTTAGCATCTGAAACTAACTGCACCATGTTCCCTCTTTCAAATGTAGCATGTCTTTAAAATCAGATTTTCTTCCTTTATCAGGGCATCCAGCCTGAATTTAGGTTTCCTTAATGTAACTGCCATCTCACTAAATATAATGACACTACAGAAAGACCCTCATACCTCTGCTGCTCCTCTCCATGATCTTATTGCATCTTCTAGCTCATTTGTGGGGCTTGAATTTGAGGCTCCAGCCCCACTAACGTTCTTTCTCTCCTGAGCTACAGCTTCAGCAAAGCAAGAGTGTGCCACTGGCTGGACCTTCTGCAAAGCTTGTGACAGGAACTGAAAGTGGACCTGCATCACCGTCAAGAAACATCGCCCAAGTACCTGCACGAGAAGAAACAAACTGGTTTCAAGCAAATAAAACATTTCAGGGAAGTTACCCTTCTTCCTTTTTGTTCAGTGTTTGGGGTAAGGAACTAACTTAAATTCAGATTATTTTTTTTATTAAATTAACACTTCAGATCATAAGTAACACAAGATATTTAACCATTTACTTAAAATAAGGTAAACAGTGAACGGCAGAGATCAGATTGATCCTATGTCATTTTTACCTATGCACTCAAGTTATGGTTACTTCAAGAATGAAAAGCTTGTTAAGTTACTTAGCAATATCAAGCACATGAAACAATACAAAAATGGGAGCAGCATATTATCACAAGCACAAAGTCAACAGAAAAACCCGCCTGCACATAGACCTAGCTGAATTTATGCTAAAAAATCCAAAACAAAAACAAACCAAAAAATCTGAATCATTTTAAAACATTATCATAAAAATCAGAAAAGTTTAATCCATCAGTTTATCTTCCAAGCAGAACAGTAACTGGTAAGAAGCACGAAAACATTTTGCCACATAACACAGTGGCAACACAGTGCCATTTTTAGAATAGAATAGTGACTGCAGAATGCATGCACAAAGCCGCAGCCCTGTCACTTGCATTGTCTGACAGGAACTGCTAACGCTGGCACAAATGTCCTCTTCAGAATATTTCACTGAAGTGGGTCGTGTCATACTCACTTGGAAAGCCCGAGGAAAGACAGGGAAGCGAAGAGCTGCCAGTCCCTCCCTGTACTCGCTGGGCTGAGGGCAGCACCAGCACCGTGCCAGGGAAAGGGGGCCCACCTCTGCCAGCCAGAGCTGGGCTCCACGTCCTGGACCTCTGTCCCCTGCACGTTTCATCCTCCCTTTATCTCCCTCTCTCACACCCATGCTAAAGAGTCACAGCCAAACACAGACACATGCCTCGGTTACCTCAAGCAAAAAAAAACAGGTCACACAAACTGAGTATTTAGGTGCAGCCACCACCTGTGGAAGGACAGACAGGAGTGCAACCATCCAGAAGGACAACCTGGAGAGCAAAGCAGCATGGACCGGAGTGCTCTTTCTACCTTCAGGGCCATGCTCTCCTAAGCGGACGTAAGCTTACAACAAAGCATAACTAGAACGCAGCAGAGAAGCAAGTATTTTCCAAATTACTGTAGAAAGTATTGAAAAGCTATTCAAAGTGTCTTGTTTCTTTTATGGAATTTGTCACACAAAGTGGTTTGAAATATATATTTGACTTTGATTTATTAAAAAAGACTCAACTTGAATTCCATTTTAGGAATAATTCATAAAATACACAGATAATGCACAGAGCCATCATGCCTTGGAGCAAATAAATCATCTGGCTTATTTTCAGCTACATTCTTCTGGAATAAAAATATTCAGACACAATGATCTTACTGGCAAGACTCTCTAGTCACACGAACAGTTATATGCATTAACTATCTACTTCAGAAGAACCAGTGGTGGCAATGCTTTTTTCCATTGCGTCCAGGCTCCTTTTGACATTCCATTCTGGTTCAATCACTTCCCTTCTTTGTACAAGGCATAAAATTAAACATTTTTGGTACTTTGACTGACCTCTGAAAGCCGAGTTTGCCTTATTAAAAAAGCAGTCATCAAATGATAAAATGAATAAACTCCAACTTTCCTGGCTACAAGATTAGAAAGATTTCTAAGAAAACTGCGGGAAAAGGCAACTGGTGATCTGAATATCTCTGTGTAGGAAGAATGCAGTTCTCGGGGGAAGAAGAAACTAGGACTCATTAGGAATTTCAAGCCGACTGAGTTTCAAAGAATATTTAAGGTACAGAGGTCGAAGTTTCCCCTGTCTGGGAATAACGCTCAAAATAAACAAATGATTTAGTTTTTAAGTGGCAGCACACAACACTCCCAGTACAATTTACAATGTTAAATAGTAAAGATAAATAGTAACATCTGCTTTACTGAACTTCTGTTTGAAAAATAATCTATTTCAGTTTTCCTCAGAAATGGGTAAGGATGGTTTTAACTGCTTAAATAAAATCCAAGTGGTGGAGCATTTTTGCACTGTTAAACACTCGCCACTGCAGATGCCAAACTGACTTTGCTTTAAAGTTCACTTCTTGAGGATTTTCTTCTGAAGAGCTGAAACTCTGTCTTAACTGTGGGAAACAACTATGACCACCACCAGTTTAACAAATATAGCCAGGGTTGGCCAGCGGTTACTGAAGTGTGTAAAGCAATACCCTAAACCTCTGTTGCAAAATCTGCAGAATATTAGCATATGGATGTGGTTTTTTCAGTTAGAGCACCACCATCTCTTTTTTGAGTTTATTCTTCCTTATTTTCCCATGCTTTAGACCATAATAAGAACAAACTAAAACCTAGAAACTATGTAATAATCAAACATGAACTCGAATCACAGGTGTCAACTAGTAAGTTTTTCTTGGTAGTGGTGGTGTTTTCTTAAACCATTTCTTAGAATCATGTATATTGCATATACAATGAGGTCTTCAGCTTGCAATTTTTTTGCCCCAAGAAATCTAGCTCCAGCACCTTGACTTTCCTAACCCGTTACCAGGTAGGACAGCTATCTATCTCAGCAGCTGAACAACCTTACATAAAGGAATCTGTCCTCCTGTTTAGGCAGTTGGAAGCAATGGGACATTTTGGGGAGGTCTCACTTCAGACTTCACTGTTTCTGAAACAGGTGATGAGTTTAATCAAACTGGTTTCATACAAACAGGAGCACCAGGTGGAGATGCAGTGTCCTGTATTACCTTCCTAATGGGGGCACACAACCAACTTTGGAATATTTTGCTGGACAAAATGCAGACATAAAATTGCAAGATTTCATTGCTAAACAGTGATGCCGTGCAAATTCCCCAGCAAGCAAATCTTATACAACAGATTCCTTAAAACAGAACACTACCACTAATAAAGGTAGCAAATAACCAGTGTCAGTCTTCCAAACTTGATACAAACACCGACCTGCAGTTCCAAGTACCATTTTATGTAGTAGAATTTTTTTTTCCCCCTTTGCGGGGGCAGAGGAAAGAGAGTAACAAACAAAAACACACAAAAAAACAAAACACCGTAACTGGCTTATTCAGTGGTTTCCTACTACCCCCAGTTCCCTTTAACAGAGTTCTTAATGGTTTTGGTAACGATAAGCCCTGTGCATAACCTGTCTACCCACTGAAGAGACCAGATTAAAACAGCAGTATAATGAAGTTATGTACCAGGTTATGAGACAACACCGTTTCCCACATATGCCTGAAAGTGGGCAGAGTATTATTCATTTTTATTATGTAGCAACGCCCTGCAGTTTGGAAGAGTGATCTCATGACCAAAACACCTCCTATGGAAAACACGGTCTTGCTCATTGAAAAAGAGTTCCCTACCAGATAAACTAGATTCCAGTGGAAGCTGCACCTTTACATCTACAGTATTAGGAGACACGGGCAACGTAAGAGACTCATTTCTGCTAACAGTCAACCTAAAAGCCCAGCAGTGATAATCCGATATTGACAGCTACTAAAATGCTAACTATAATTTAGCGAAAAAGCATTTAAGTGTTAAGCATTTTAAAAATGAAAACCAGCAATTAAAATGCAATGCAAAATATTTCTGAAGACAGTGCTAGCAGATCTGAGAGCAGATCACAAGATTATAGACCAAGACAAGAGTACAATGGCATTCCAGCAAGCCATAGCATTTTCTACTGATTTGAGGTGGCTTTTTGCTACTAACAGTTCCTCAACTCAGAAAAGTCTGAAGCTAATCCCTGCAAATCACAGCAAAGATAATAACTAAAAAAAAAAATTTAATTGGGCTTTACAATGTTTGCTAAGGAAAGCCTACATTTTATATTTACTCATTTTTGTCCCACAAGCGTCTTGTTCAATAATCTTCAGTTATTTTATACACATAAAAGCCAAAACTTCTCTCAATTTAACACAAAACAGAGCATCCATGTAAATATCCTGTGCCCATTCACGCTTCCCTTTTGTTAACAAAGGCAACATGTACGTTTGTCATTACTACCACTTTTAAGACAATACACAAGCTCTGTGTAATTAAACCAAGATTAATGCTTTGTATTTTGCAGTACTGAGGATGCGGCAAAGCTTCATAAAAGATGAGAAAATATACAAACTTTTTTCCAATTTTAGTTTTTTTTTTCCTACAGGATTTCCTTTAACGCTTTTATTAACAGAAGTACAGTTTTACTGAAATCTTCCAGCTTACAAAACTGTAACAACAGATCAGGAAAAACTTAACATAGAACACACTCTCGTGCCCTCTGATTTCCAAGCTGCTCCTCACCCATATAGGCACAAAACACCTGAGAATTCAAAGTTTTTTGAAAGAGGAAAAGGAAAAGCAGAAAATAAAAATCAGCATCTGAAATTAAGAAACCTTAGGAAACTCCATCTACCACCAACACTTTGATCAAGAGAAGTCACCTACTTACACATCCTGGCAGACAGCTCTGAACTAGCAAGCTTTGTTCTGCTAAAAAACACTAAATAAACTAAAAACCTCACCCACTGCTGCTACAGTCCAGGTTGCACAACCTTTTTTAGTCCAATTCCAAGTCAGTTCATCAGAACTTTGAAGTTTTCTTGATATTGCCTTCCCTGGGGGCTAGAGCCCGCTACACTAGATAAAAACGTGTGGCACCTCAGAAAAGCTATAGCTCTCTGCTAAATTTCTAAAGTCAAACCTGCTCTGCTTGTATTTCTCATTCTTCCTCAAAACGTACAGCCTTTGTTGAGGAAGGCTTAGGAAAAGTACGTTTTCCTTAGCTGGGGTCATGCATAGAAGCAGCCTCATTCTTTTGTCCATCTCATGAATTTGGGGTTCTGTCCTCCTAGCCCCACCATGAATTACAACTCGCCTCCCACTGCTTCCATAACACCAGACTCCATCCCTCAAATAAGAGGTTCTGGAGTACTTCTTCACAGGATATTGCTGAGCTGCCACTCAGACCTTCAACCATCTCTCAATTCTTTCTCAGAATTAAGTTCTTTCAGTCATCTACTAGAGAAACTGCAAACACAACTTCAGATATTACTGTATTTCTCACCCTGTATTTTCCAAGGAACAACTGCACTGCCTCTCATGCTCTTCTCTCCTCATTTCCCTGGTCAGTGAATTCCGATGAAGTCAGGCAAGCCCTTTATATTTTTCTGCTTCCATTGTGACTTTTTTAATCCTGCTGGTAGTTTTATCAAATGTTAACTTTGCTAAAGA